GCCAGACCACATTTCACGGCGATGATGCTTGTCAATATTTATACTTACGGTGTGCATCTGTCACTGTAGTCATTGGCAATGGTTTCAATGCCACCGCTCCTGGCCACAGCGATGTAACAATTTTGGAAACCCACATCAATGCCTACCACTGACATAATGAGCGCTCTCAGATTCACCTTTTGTAAGTTATCTTCCGCAACAACAGTACTTGACACCTATGAGAAGAAAAAAAATATATAGCCTATTTATAGCCTATATACAGGCTACAATAGCGGTCTATTTCAAAATAAAATGCAGGTAAGCGGGTCCTCTGCTCTGGAAATATACGACAATTCAAGCTGAGGGAGGACTAACTGAATTACTAGCTGTTATGTAAGTCAAGCTGTTTATAGCAAACTCATTCAGAGTAATCCCAGGGAGCAATGGTGTCCAGCGGATTCTCCCACTACAAGGCGGCCCTAACATCACCCAGCGGCTCTGACAGACGGATGCTCTCAGGCCCGCCCCCTAGCGCCTGTGATTGGCTGCGTCACACCCTTGTCCGTACGTGATTGGTGTAGCAACCAATCCATAACAGAAATATCTAGAACTCCCTCGAAAGGGGACCGCGGAATACGTCACAAGCAGCAATGGTCCACGGATTCGTTTGCCCTAAATTTAACCTGTCAGGTAGAATTTATCCGTCCAAATCGTCACGTGCTTCAAGATTGATGTGCGCACATTACTGTAGCCTAATATCTATGAAAGTAGCGTTACAGATATCTCATTATATCAAGGGGGCTTATCGACGGCTAACAAGGAGTGGAACACAGCTTGAAACCTGAAAGCCTGGAAGGCTTTGGACAGGGAAGTCGCTACACGCAGTGAGGTAACACAGGTGTGGTCTGGCCATATGATGGATTGTGAATTCATCCATTAATATGTAAGGACAAAGATGTAAATATTTTTAAAGGAGGAAAATAAAATCAATGAATATGTCTTTAACTTTCTCTGTGTATTCTGTAAATGCATCAATATTTCATTTTATTATTTTCTTTATTTTTGTGATTTATTTTAACATGACCCATGCCCAGATTTCCATAGTCACAAATGTAACCATGGCAGTGGTGCAAGAAGTAAACAAATTATTTTCTAATGTAAAAACAGTAGGCATAATACCACTGTGTAAAAAGTCCTGCATTCAAAACTTTACTTCAGTTAAAGCACAAAAGTAGGCTATTATCAGCAAAATATACTTTACGTAAAGTAAATAAGCTCATTTGCAATGTATTACTATATAATTTATATTGCTGAATTATTATTACTAAAACATGAAAATCTAACAGCATTTTAGGGGTCAAGCAAATAATAACTACTTTACATACTGTTGTGTAGTAAAAACCTATTATGTTCAAAGTTCATGTATGTACATCTGCTAAGGCACTATAAGTGTCAGATAAATGTAATTAATAAAAAGTACAATATTTCTCTCTGAAATATGATTTAGAAGCAAAAGTAGCATGAAACAGAAAGTAGAGGTATACCTGCAAATTGCCCTTAAATAAAGTACTTGAGTAAATGTACTTAGTTATTTTCCACAAATGATCCATTGACTTTTATGTTTACATATAAGATCAGAAGTGTTAAGGAAAGGTCCAAGTCTTGCTTTTAGAACCATGGTTAGGGTCTTGTATTTAACTTTTCAACCTGAAATGTATTTTTAAAATGATGCATGGTATGCCTTTATATTTATAATGCTATAGTCTATTTAAATTAACTTTAGCCTTAATTGCATAAAAACACGCCATTTAATATTTTATTTCAAAGCCACCAATGCCTTTTGAAGAGTAGGAACTACAATATTGTCTCTTTAATGCCTTAGTGTTTCGAAAATGTATTGTTTTAACCTCATAAAGGTTGAACTATTTAGGCAAGCTGTTGAGGAAGGCCAGCTCGGTGCAGTGCAGAGACCTTCAGCCACAGACTCATTCAGCTCCGAGCCTCAGGGCGTTTTTGGCTCCATAACAAGACAGCACCCAACTGACAGACTCTATTCTGATTGTTCATAATTGTTATTATTAAGTATTATAAGATTATTGTTAGTAGTTATTGTTATTGCACATTGATTAGGGTTTATACAGTGTGTATATGTTTTGATTCCTAGAATGTTAATTATTTATTGATTGTATATAGTGTGTATACAGTGTGTATATTATTTATAGCCTACATATACATAGGAAAGCTAACTGATTCTATATTTACTGTATTTTTGTCTTGTCTATCTTTTTTACATTCTCTGTGCTGCTGTGCCAACACGATTTTCCCCTTCTGGGGATTAATAAAGGAATATCTTATCTTATCTTATCTTATCTTATCATAGAATTTCTTTTTACAACCCTGTTGTAAAATTACAAATGAATTACCTTTACTCACAAAAAAGCCTTTAAATAAAGCCTTTAAACCTCATTTACTGCTCCTGTAATTATTTTTCAAAGTGCCAAATGTTCACATTCTGTAGAGCTATAGCCTTGTAAATTGATTAATTAAATAAATTAGGCTAATAATTAAAAGGGTTTGGGCTTAACATATATTTCTCCACATTATTCAATAAAATATATGATGTGTTGTAGTTTACTCACACAACTTGATTATTCCCCTTCTGTTCGTCGTGTCCAGTTTCCACAGGTGTGGGGATCTCGGTGTCAGACAGGATACTTAAAAGGACATTAAAGGTAACAAGGAGGGATGTGTGTCTTCAGGTGTATAAATATTTGCTTGTGGACTATTGTTCATTTACAATGCTGCACTATGGACAGGTTTTAGCAGTGGTGGAGAAGGTATTCAAACCCTCTACTGAAAACCCCTACAATGTAATTTTCCACCAGCACAGATGTTTTTCTCAATTTTACTGATTAGACCTCAGGTCTGTGTGGATTTATACAGACTGTGTTGACTGACTTGTTGCTTTTGTTAGGGTGGGACAACTTGACATGTCACAGTAGGAAAACCACAGTGGCTGGAATTCTATTTAGCTGCTTCAGTTTTCTGGGCCATGCTGGCTCACTGTCCCGCTGGCTTACTGGGACACTTGAATAGAAAGGTCCATTGTTTATATTATTAGTAACACCTCTGCTTTTTCTGCTATGACAAGTCAAAATATCTGCTTTGAAAACAGCCTATTTTTTGTGTTTTTTAAAAACTTTATTTATCATAAATTACATAGTAGAGTAGTCAGATACAAATACACAATACAATGTCAGAGAGACAATACATACGACTTGAACAAGTAGAGTAGTAGAGTACATCTACTTGAACAAACATACATAAATGTTTTTCATAACCTTATCGGATAGCAAACAGTAGTATAAAAAGTGAATAAAGACAGGATACAAAAGGGTAAATTCAATATACAATAACAATAGATAGAGGAAACAGTAACCAATTAAGTATTTCCACTCTCTGCTACTTTCTATTTCTTCTCCACTTCAATTTAGGGGGAACTATGATCTTTTTACATCTCTAAATTTATTTTATAGTTACTTTGTCAATGAAGATTGTTATTATTAATAAAATATGATGCTTTGATAAAAAATGTAACTACCCAGTAGTAAATAAGGATGTGTTCTACGTAATGAATAATCTTAACACTCTAAGTGTGTTTATGTCATCATAATTTTGGGGATTCTTACCAAGTCTTACAGTGGTACTTTTACACTCAAACAGGTGTTTTCACTTAGTCTGTTGATGTTGGGTGGAGCTATGCTGGCAATTATTTTAGGTCACCAAACTCCATGTAGCAGGTAGAAAAGGCTTTTTATTTTACTGGGGAAATTTTTCATTCTTTACAGAAATTCTTAGGATCTCAACCCTCATTGCCTCTTTTTTAGTGGAATTTAAGTCATTTCTCAAATCCTTTTCCTTGGAAAAACAACAAGAAAAGCAACAGTTTAAGTGTATTTAAGTTGGCTAATAACCTCAAAACTGTACTCAATGGCCCTGCACACTCACATAGGTTATTTTACTTTGTCTGGTAGGCCTGTGCTGAAGAGTAAAAGCTGTTAGATCAACAAGTCTCTAGCTTGGTTGCGCCTGTTAGAGTGGGACAAATGACATATTAACGTATGTCACTGGAATTTCAATTGAATGTATCTGAAACTGGAGCTGTGACAAGTAAAAACCAAAATCAACGTTTAAGATTACTATTCACAATATCTTTTAAGAGATTTAGTGCCTGGCTATTTATTAATAATCACAATAACACATGAAATCAAAATTCTAATGATGCACTAGAAGGATGTGTTTTCTTATGGTTTATGTAAATTTAAACATTTGTGTTTGGTACATTATTTCTGTGTTGTAACAAAGCTTTTTGGCAATACATCTTATACTATTGGAAAGCCTGTCTATGTCCCTTTAAAATGGTGCCACATTTGTAAGGAACATGCATTTGTGGGATGAGCACCATAGCTAAATAGGTGGGTTACGCCCATGAAAGAGTTGCCAAATCTTCTCTGACAATGCTAAACAGCTATGATATCTTTATGAAATAAAGATATCTTTGAATTTGTGTGGACCCCAGTGAACACTTTAAAGAATTTCAATTATAATCAGTTATAATTTAAAACAGAAACATTTCTGATTGACAAAAGATACTTTTTTAAAAATTATTATTATTCTTGATTAGTCTTACTAGTCAAACTGTAATTATAAATAACTTTGATTACAGTTTTGACTGGTCAGAAATGCATCGTGGATAGGCTACCATTAATGTGATATTCTTTAATATGTTAAAATGGCTCACCATAAACACACCATTTTATTAGCTGTTTGTGTGGCTGGTTCGATTTCAACTTCACTTGTCCTTGTTTCCTTGATGAGGACCAGATGGACTGAATGTTCATTCATGTTTGTACTGAGCCCGATGGGCCTGAGCGAGAACAGGAAGTGCTGGTCCAACAAGCTGAGCTAGCCAGCTAATTTTAGTCCGAAAGGTTAGCTTGGCATTTAACTCAATAATCACGATGGGGCTGTTCGGTAGAACACCGGAGAAACCACCAAAAGAGCTGGTGAGTACCTACTGCTGAAGACCAGGACTGTCTTGGAGAGTTTTGTCCGTTGTAAGAAAAAAACGACAGCGCCTTTTGCTAATCTTGCTAACGTTAGCTGTCAGTTTAACTCACTTCGTACAATCTGTTGCTGCTTCTTACTAACTGAACAGCAGATGTTAACCTAGCTACAATGAGCCGACAGCCCCTTTAATGGTGCCCGGCGGTAACTTGCACGATTTGTACCGTATTTAACCTTATACGTTTAATTGTATGCCGCATTAACAGATCAGCTAATCTTATTTTGGTATCTGAAGAGCTAGCTAGTTAGCACGCAAGCTAACACTAGTCTGTCAGTTATGTCAGTGTAAACAAACAGTGAATGTGTTGGCTTTAGCTGACAAGCTAATGTGTTACTGTTTAGCTGTTAACATTTAAACATAGCTTTAGACTAATGATAAACGTAACCATATGTTAAAATGGGTATTACAAACATACTATAACTGTCGATGCAGTTTGTAATAACATAGTGTGTCATTTCAGATCACTGAGTGGTCAGGAAAAATCAGGAAAGAAATGAGAGTGATTGACAGACAAATACGAGGTAAGATACTGTGACACTACCACTGAACAACTGTAAAGTTAAAAAAAATAAATACATTAATTTGTAATTGTAAAATGTGCATCCAATTAATACATTTGCTTAAATGTAGTTTCATAAATAGTGTGTTATTTCTATCTATCTAAAAACAAATGGAAGAGATTATCACCAACACGTTTTACTAGAGGCAGTGTCTCATTAAGATGGTCAATTTGTATTGTTAAATTTATTACATACTACAGTCAGTTACTTAATTATAAGTTACATATGTTCTTTTTTTCTTTTGTATGTAATGACATGCCATTTTGTTTTAGATATTCAAAGGGAAGAAGAAAAAGTTAAAAGATCCATCAAAGATGCTGCCAAAAAGGGCCAGAAGGATGTGTGTGTGGTTCTCGCAAAGGAGATGATTCAATCAAAGCGGGCGGTCACAAAACTTTACGCTTCCAAAGCCCAAATGAACTCTGTGCTACTCAGCATGAAGAATCAGCTAGGTGAGTTTGGGAGTAGACAAATTTCTGTCATTTTATGTAAAATCCTTTGTGTTCATCAGTTAAACAGTTTGGTCTTTTATCATAGACCTTAATGTTCTGCTGTGCATCATCTGTGAAGAAAATGTACTTGTGTGTTTCTAGCTGTACTGCGTGTAGCCGGGGCCATGCAGAAGAGCACAGAGGTGATGAAGGCCATGCAGAACCTAGTCAAAATCCCAGAGATCCAGGCCACCATGAGGGAACTATCAAAGGAGATGATGAAGGTCAGCAGCAGCAGTGTCCAACATAAAAAGATGCTGTTTGCTTACAATCAAGTTACTAGTAACACTGCGACGGACTCCGATCACCATCTCTCATTATTTTTTTATTAGAAAATGTTGCTAAACCATCACATCATGTACCCTAATTTATCTTTCAGGCTGGCATCATTGAGGAAATGCTAGAAGACACATTTGAGAGCATGGAGGATGGAGAGGAGATGGAGGAAGCAGCAGAGGAGGAAGTTGACAAGATCCTCTTTGAAATCACAGCAGGTGAAGAGATTTGTTAAACTATATCATCACAATACATTGTTACTTTCCTGTTTTGTTATACAGTTGTGGTGTATAGGTTTTCTAAGCATTTAAGTCTGAACCACAGATTTAAGTACACCACACAATAGCTCTGTTTCATGGTTGTATTTTCTTTGTTAGGTGCCCTTGGCAAAGCGCCGAGCAAAGTCACAGATGCCCTGCCTCACATTGAGCCCCATGGAGCCACTGCCGCTTCAGAGGATGAGTCAGAGGAGGACATTGAAGCGATGCAGTCAAGATTGGCAGCTCTGAGGAGCTAAGGTGCGCTGCCACTGTCCTGTCAAAATCCGTTTGCTAAGTCCAACGAGGACAGAGACAATTCTGGTTTCACAGTACAGAGCATCCTCTGCGCTTCATATTATAATTATTCCACATAATCATTTGGGGTTAAATTTTTTGCTACGGCAATTAATGTCTTTAAAATGTTTTTTTTTTTTTTTTTTTTTGTAGAGTGTTTGGTCTATTCAGCCAGAAGAAAATGTGTTTTTGCTTTTTGTCTTTAATTTATCTGGGGTAACCCTAGGTAAGTGTTTATTATCCAAAGTCAAACAGAAGGTTTAAGAAAGTGTATATAATGTAAGTATGAAAAGCCTGCTGTGCCTACATTGCTTCGTCATATTCTTCTGTCCTAAGTTATGGACTGGTGGTGGAGGTTCTTGGGTATTGATGATCCAAATGAGTCATTAAATAGCTGTTGATGGAAGCCGCTCTGAACTTAAATCACATCCTAATAATCACTATTCAGCGGTTGTTTTAATCTGTTCGTATACATTTTGTAAGCAACAGCTGCTCTGTTTAGTGGCAACCAGAAACCTGAAACACTAGAGGTAGTGGGTGGATTTCTCTTTTGAATTGTTGATTTCCTGTACAGTCAAAATGTATCTATTCTATTTGTGGTCATACATGTAAAGTGCACTCATCAGAAAAATGCACGCATACCATCCTTACCCATTTATTTTGCATTAACGTTCAGCTTGTTAAATGTCTGACTTAGTATCACAATTGAGTTCCTTCACAGCAGAAAGATTCAGAGGAAATAAGAAGGTTGGTTAGTGCAGAACCTATGTATTGTGGAAGTGTTGTGTGTGTGTGTGTGTGTGTGTGTGTGTGTGCGTATAATTTTCTATGTGAATGGGGTAAAAAAAGAAGGAAATAAACTTTTAAGAACAAAGGTTGCCAATAACATGGATGTATTTCACCTGTTTCTGCTTTCAGCATTGATCACATTAACTTACGTACAAGATCACAGTAAATACTAAATGTTAGGCTTATTCCAATCAGGAATAATCTTTTAGGAAATCTGAACCTACCAGCTTGCAAGAGCACAGGTCAGAAACTGTACCGCACGGAGAATCTAATTCTGTTGAGACAAACAACTTTTATCTGCGACAGAAAACAGCTTACTCAGCAGCTCTGAAACCAAACAGTTTGAGTAGTGAAGAGTTAAATGACTGAGAGTGCTGCTTTTTGTCATTCTACAGGTCAGGGACTGCAATCTGCCAATAATCAGGTACTGCTGGAGGTGTGACTGAAACTGTCGAATAATTGATTTTATTTTTAACCTGTGACAATTGGAGTAGAATCACATTATGTTGATGTGTAAAGTGTTTTTTTGAAAGAAGGACAAGTAACGTAAAGCTTTAGGAGCAGTGCATATTGGGTATGCTTGTTTTGAAGCCATTCTTTGGCTCTAGAACAAAAGGAAATGGACAAAAGGATTAGATTTCTACCAGCCACAGCCCCCCCTCTGCAGCTTTTGCTGTACTGTAACAAAACCTTGCCTCTGTTCTCTGGCTTCAGTATGTAGGCCAGAGGCTGGACAAAGCAAAGGTACTGTAGCCCGAATGGTCCATGTGTTCTCAGGTTTGGTGACCAGAGGCTGAGAAATGTCATGCCCAGGCAAAATCTCTCCAACGTTTTCATCCAGATTTCTAGTCATACTCTTTTTGGTAGTTTCCCCAATAATCAATAAGTTCAAGTTCAAGTTTATTTATATAGCACATTTAAAAACAACACTAGTTGACCAAAGTGCTTTCCACAATAGACAACAGATATACATGTTGAAAAAGTAAAAAATATAATAAATGTCACTACTCAACTCTGTTTGAAGGCCAATGAATAAAGATAATAAAGATTTGAAAGTGTCAGGAGTTCGGGCTTTCTTATTTAAACAGGTAAAGTATTCTAAAGATTAGGAGCAGCTACTGAGAAGGCTCGGTCACCTTTAGTTTTTAACCTGGATCTGGGGACATCAAGGAGCATCTGATTGGATGACCTCAGTGATTTGACCGGAGTGTGTACATGTAAAAGTTCTGATAAATAAGAAGGTGCCAACCCATTTAAAATTTTTAAAACAAGCAATAAAATCTTAAAATCAATCCTAAAGCGGACAGGAAGCCAGTGGAGCGAGGCTAAAACGGGGAATGTGCTCACGCTTTTTAGTTCCTGTTAGAAATCAGGCTGCTGCATTCTGGACTAACTGTAACTGATGGAGAGATGACTGATCCACTCCAACATACAAAGAGTTACAGTAGTTGAGACGAGTAGTTAAAAAAAATAAATGCATGTATTACTCTTTCAAAGTCTTTGCGTGGTAGGTAGGGCTTGACTTTGGCCAACAGTCTCAGCTGAAAGAAACTGGCTTTTACTACAGAACTAATCTGTTTTTCAAACTTAAAAGCACTATCAAAGATCACACCTAGATTCTTGGTAAACGGACGACTACATGTTCCTAAAGTACCAAGAACATCTATACAAGCACTTAAATCCCCAGGTCGACTGAACACAACAACCTCAGTCTTACTTTCATTCAGACAGAGAAAGTTCTGATTCAACCATATTTTAAGATCTCTCAGGCAGTTGAGCAAGGACTGAGTTGCAGCTTTGTCGTTAGATTTTACAGGTAAATATATTTGTATGTCATCTGCAAAGCAATGAAAGGAGATGTTGTGTTTTTTGAAAATGGACCCCAATGGCAGCATGTACAGTGAAAAAAGCATGGGGCCCAATATGGACCCTTGGGGGACCCCACAAGAAAGAGGGGCAGCAGATGAAGAAAATTCACCGAGGTGAACAGAGAAACTTCTATCCGCCAGATATGATTGAAACCATTTGAGGACTGTGCCCCTAATGCCGACACACTGTTCAAGTCGGGATAAAAGAATGGAGTGGTTAACCATATCAAAGGCAGCAGTCAAATCTAAAAGCACCAAAACAGCAGAGTTTCCAGAGTCAACAGCTAAAAGGAGATCATTAAAAACTCTTAAAAGGGCAGTTTCAGTACTGTGACAGGGCTTAAATCCAGACTGGAATTTTTCATAAATACTAAAATCATCTAAAAATGATTGAAGTTGATTAAAAACCACTCTCTCTAGGATTTTTGACAAAAAGGGGAGCTTAGAGATAGGTCTAAAATTAGAGAGGTTTGAAGTATCCAGATTGTTCTTTTTTAAACACATATATATATAATAAGTGGAGACTAAACTCAGTTGTTAAAGTGAATTCATCATGTAGGCTAAATTTAGTGTAAGCATATGAAGTGGTATAAGGCTCAGATTCAATTTATTTAAAGTGACAGCAAGTGACAAAGGCATTAACATTTAATTAACTTGTTTCTTTCCTTAAAGTAGAGAATCATCTAATGCAATCCCACGTTATAGCTACTGTAATACTGAGGCCCTGTCTTGAACATTGATTCTGAGCTGTATTGTTTTACTTTATATTATTTTAACATGTAGAACTTTTTCTCCTGCCCTTTTTATAGACAAAACAATCTTGCAAATAAGCAGCAGGTTTATTGACAATGAAACTACTTCTGCCTTAGTCATGGTGCATATTTCTAAAAAAAAAAAAAAAAAGTATTTCACCTAGGATTAGTACCTTCAGGATCTCTGGGGCAAATAATAAGGCTGCTGTGGCCAGTCTGCTGGTGCATTATGCTTAATGGGACCTTCGAGCCCCATACTCTCTGCAAAGGGAAAGAGGTGGAGGTTGTTAATGTGGATCCAGCAGAAAGCCCACTGAGTTAATCAGATCATATCACATCTGAACAGACTTTTTGCCAAGAAGACTCATATTTACCCACCCTTTGCTGCTTATCTGTGTTGACTGTGCAATGCAACACTGCCATCTATGGAAAAGAGTTATAGTCCGCTCACTGTTTATCTTGCATCACGTTGCCGCCTGTGTGCGTCCAGACGCAGCCGCCTGTCATCTGGAGGAAACTCCTCCCAACAGACAGCGCGTCCTGTCGCCTTTGCAGCGCAATGGTCTCCTGGATCATCTCTAGACTTGTGGTGTAAGTCATTTTATTATTTACTTCGATATGCTCTGACACAGAGTGGGATAATAATAAATTGTGGTTCCTGGTTATTGAGGGTATTTGAGCCTCTCATTGTGAGCGACGCGCGTTACAAGCCCCCGCAATTTGTCTAAAATGAAATCCGAATCCGAACCAGCGTGTGAGGAGAGGAGATGTCGGTCTATTAATTTTTGACTGAAAAACAGTCCGCATTCCTCAGGATTGTACTTTGTCATTTCAGCAGGAATGCTGAGCAAGGCCCGTATAGACCTGTGTTTTGGCTTGCAGCGCTCAGTAGCCTGCCACTCTTTGTGTTTATCAAGTGTTTTTTTTTTATTACAGACAAAGAGGTGACGTGATTTGCAGAATAGTCTATTATCATCCATGAAATGATAATATGAGTCAGATCCAGGATTCAGAGGCGCCTTTCACTGGCAGAAGCCTAAATGTCACTGAGTGGCGGATGACTGAACAACAGGAGCGGTCTTTGAGTGGAGCTATATTCTCTGTTGATGTCCCATGTTGGAAAAACACAAAAGGGACGGGTCAACCTTCTCAGGTTACAATGCAAGAGTTATTCATGTATTAAGATATGCATATTCCCTAATAGGAATGTAGGCTGCATGAGATTCACCACCAGGATGACATTTATTAAAGTAAGCTATGGCTATTTTACCTGCACAAAGCATGAATCAGCGCTATTGCAAACCGTGTGGATTCTACCAGCAGCAGGCCCAACCTCAAAATAGTGAAGCACTTAAATTTAGATTACAAGATCTTGTTGCGTATCTTTGACTGTTACACCCTGGCAATTCCCAACCTGGTTATGTAGGTCATTTTTGGTCCAGTCTCCAACAGAACGGTTTAGTTGCGTCTCCCACAGATGATATTGCTTGTATATTTTTAGTGTCATAGTGTTTGTGTTTCTAAACTCTGTTAAAGCACTGGGCAGTAGGTTCGAGAGGTGCAACATGATGTAGGTCAGTAATTTGATCAGGTCACAGTCACAGCTGTTGCCTGGCTGTAGCGCTTCAGCAGGGCCCTGAATCTGTCTGGACAACCAGCAGCACAGGTGTCTGCACACAAATAGACATTTAAAGAAAGGGAAGAAAACACATGGAAGCTAATTTTACCTCCTGTTTGAAAGTTATAAGCACCTTCATAGCTTGTTTACCAAATCAGCCAGGAAAAAATCAGTTGATTTAATATTTTTATATTTGGAAGGGAAAAGCTGTTGCACCTTTTCTGATTTCCCTTGATCTCACCTGACAGCCTGTCCATCAATTTACTTATGTGGGGTTCAGCTCAGAGGTCTCATGGACAAAAAATGTGTTTTTATGTATAATTATATGTAGTTTTATGAAGACAGAGAAATCTCTGCTTGAATAATATCCATAATCATGATTTATTACATTTGAAATGCCTTGATTTGAAATGTTATCCATGCACATTTTAAATATCTGTTGGACTGCAGTGTTTGCAATGTTTTGTTTTTTGAATTGATGGGCACATTTTCTGTATTCTAGACTTGTGTTTGGTACACTTTATCCTGCATACTCATCCTATAAAGCTGTGAAGTCAAAAGATGTGAAAGAATATGTGAGTATATCATTTGTATTTTTACTTTTGAAATGATATCAGGCAGTGTCATTTTCATAGATTCTGCAAAGTGTTATGTGTTTCTGTAACTGTTTTTACATTTCAGGTGAAATGGATGATGTACTGGATAATATTTGCCCTATTCACTACTGTGGAAGTATTTACAGATATGTTTCTTTGTTGGTGAGTAACTCAGATATTTAATGTTTATCATTATACAGCTCCTTGATGGAAAATAGTTTACCTCTTGACCGTTGTTGTGTTTATATCACATAACTGTCACTGACTGATAAAGCCTGTTTTCCATTATGCTTTATTGTACCAGTGGCTCCATTATGTTGTGTCTTCATTGCAGGCTTCCTTTCTACTATGAACTGAAGATAGCCTTTGTAGTGTGGCTGCTGTCCCCTTACACTAAAGGGTCCAGTGTGCTATACAGGAAATTTGTTCATCCCACACTTTCCTCAAAAGAAAAGGTGAAAGCTCTTGGATTTTTTCTTTCACCTCTGCTAGTGCTGTTCATGGAAAGGCAGTGTAGACTCTCTGTAGGTTTTAAGTTAGGTTTTAAGTTAGTCCGCATGGTTTTGTGACTAATAGAATTTGAGCTCTGCAGCCTTTTAAGAGAACAAGTGCCATAGTGCAAATTCACTTTTCCACTTATGTTGTTAAAGATGTGTTAGCAGGACAGGAGACAGGAAATGGCATGGTGTTCCTCCATTTTTCATTTCCTTTTTGGTGATAACAGACACAGGATTAAATCAAGATGCATTAAAGAAATCTCAGCTCGGTGCATAAGATGAGTTTCACAATGAAAAATGAGAGATGTTTAGTTGTTTTTTGTCCTTGTTTCAGGACATTGATGACTATATTGGCCAAGCGAAGGACAAAAGCTATGACACACTGGTGCATTTTGGGAGAAAAGGGTTGAATGTTGCAGCCACCGCTGCAGTCATGGCTGCAACAAAGGTAATGCAGACTCTGGACATTTGTATTGTAGTGATCTGGGGGTACAGTAGAGGGTCATTGTAGATAAGAGCGTCATGCTTGTTATGTTGTTTGCTATTCACATAGTGAATTAGGTTTATGGAATGTTTAGTACAAGATCCAGTAGCCTATTGTAATGTTTGTATCACATTATTGATGCCCCTAAAGATGTTCCATTCTCTAACTGTCACACATTGGTGCTGACACTAAAATGAATACCTGGTGTTACCTGTTCTAGAGCCAAGGGGTCCTGTCAGACAGACTGAGGAGTTTCAGCATGCAGGATCTGTCTTCCTATCAGTCTGAACCTGTTAACACTGGCCCTGGCACTACGCAGCCTGCAGCAGCACAGCATCGGACCAGAACTATGATGCGCAGCAAGTCTGAGAGCCACAACAAGGGTGAGTTCATATATAAATAGCCACTATAGACTATACTGACTTAATCCAGCAAGCTAATAGTATTATCAAGGCTCTGTTGTATTCAGAATATCAATTTTGTAATAAAGCATGTTGATAAAAATGGGTAAGGTACTACCTTCTCACATAGAACATCAGCTATGATGGAGCCAACTTAATGCAATAGGAGGGCCTGGTTCGTTTGCGTAAAACAGATTATAATGTAGATTTCTGTCTTCCTGTTGAAGCTTGTTTAAGCTGTCAGATAATGTTTCGTACCTCTGCTTTCCTGAGTGGCCCCATAACCTCAGTCCTGCCTTCCTGTTTGGAGCAGGTCAGGCCTCACAAGCCTGCCAGGCTAACCATCCTGTGATAAAACCCATGTGTAGCTGTGGGGGATTCGTGCCTAGTTTAACATCATGTGGACACAGTTGTTGTTTGTTTTTATCTGGATCGGGTGTCATGTATCTTTCCTTAAATAATTATTCCTTTGTAGATAAATGTAGGCACAACACTTAGACATGATTGTATACGAAGGATGGAAATATCTGGACAGTTAAGGCAAAACTATTAAAGAAAATGGAATTTAGATTACTTCTGTTAGTATCTGAGTATATTCTTGATGTAGCTGCTGTCATTTTATTAATACACTCAATTATGGGTTCTGTAAGTCTGCCGTTATTCTATATTTTTCTAATTGTCAACAAATCCCTTAACAGACCAAAACTAACCATGTTTTAGTCCGTCCGTCTATAATTTCTGACTTTTCTGAGGAGGGATTAAAACAAGGACAGCAGGACTTGATTGAAGATATTTGATGACATTTTGCCTCTCATCCAAGAGGTATCAGTTCTGACTGACTGGCAGTAGATTCCTAAGTGTTTATCATTTGTGGGGTTGTTATCAGGGATGTAGTGTTTGTCGAAAAACCATCCTTCAGGTATTTATGCTCCTTCTCCTGGGACTGGGAAAAAGTTCCCAAGGATGCACTTGGTGGTGCAAGGTTCTGATAACTCCTAGCTTATGCTCCAGAGGGTAGTGAGAGTCAAAGAGGAAGTATTGGTCTGTGTGTGCGGGTTTCCCGTGTACACCAGTGTGGTGGCTCTTGTCCTCTACAGTGTGTACAGCACAGTCTAAAAAGATTAAACCCTCCTTGGATAACTAGACCTGGATGAGAATCTACACAGAGTAGTTCCTGACTTCCACAACTTGTTTGTGGCTGTTCACCCCAAGTCCATTGGTTCCTACTGAAGGCACAAATCTTTAACAGCACGTGACAGATATATCTCATTCAAGATTGTTCAGTAGTTTACCAAAAACCACTGGGCACTGTTGTTTTGTTGTTTTGTTGGAGACTATTTTTAGCTGCGGATTAATACACGTTTAGTACTCTAGTGAGTATTTATGGCAGCAGGATGGTTTATGTGGAACTGACACAAAATAAACTGCAGTGCCCATGTTCATGGTGATGAAGGAACATGTCACCCAGTGCAAGTGTGCAGATCACTGATGTTTTTTAGTAATAGTTTTGGACAACAATGGAGGTCTATCCCATAGCAAAGCTATCAGGCTTGATTCATTGTTGCTTTTGGTCTTTTCAAGGGATTTGCTGACAATATTAAACATATTATATCACAATTAATCAGTTGTCTTTTTAGACTAATGTGACATTTTAATACTCCACTTGAACAATGTTGTTCAACATATATCTTGGCTTTCTGCTGTCATTGCATTACATGACATGAAAATAGGCTGAATTGGACATAATTCTGCAGAATCGGATACTAAAAAGAAGAACGGAGGAGACTCATTAAGAACAGGCTTGTTAGTACTGCAACAGATTGGTTTGACTATCGTAACTTGCTATTTGGCCTCTGCTCTGTGGTCTGCAGAATGATAATGCATTATGACATTGATTTTCATAATCCCCACTGACCAAAATCAGAATCAGCTCCACAGCAATTACACAAAAAGTATTTGCCTTTCAAGTCAATAGAACAGAGACAGGATGTGCAAGTTGTTCAGCCCTTCCACCGACCTCTTTTCACGGTGCAGGACAGGATTTTGACATGACTGAATACGAGGTGTTGGGGTTGGACCAATGGGACTCCAAGGGGTTGCTGTACCAGACCATTTCACCTTCTGAGTCTGAGTCCACACACATTACGCCCTCCTCACTGACATCCCAGTCCTCCCAACCTCCCACACCCTCTCCACCTCCCACTCCTCCAGCTCCGGAGCAGCCTGAGGATGTGGGGAAAGGGGTACAGGCAGCATCAAGCTCTCCACAGCTCAGGCTGAGTAAGAGGAAGGCTCCTGAGGTATACTGCCACATCAACATGGCTGCTCAGCTGCTGCCTGATTCTAATTGCCCCTTGAGAGTGGTGATTTACTCACCCATTCACTAATTCCTACTGCTGTGTAGCTAAATAAATCATCGTGGTTCAGTACTTCTTCTTCTGCAAACTATGGAGAGTTTGGCTGCTAATCGGATTTCTGCACTGATTAAGCTGAATCATGTATTAACTTAAGTGGAATTATTGTTTAGTTCAAATGAATGTGTGATCTGATCTTGCTCTTGTATGATTGCAATTACTCACTTGTTTGGAAAAGTGGCATGGGATAAGTCATATTGACATATTCACATTGAATTTCCTTCCAATGTAGTTCATCTCTGATAATAACTCCTACTTTTGATGTAATGTTCATGGAAATTATTCTACATAATCAGTATCTGGAAATGAATGAGTATGCATTAATGCATTTCAACATCTAATTTCAGTTTGTTTGGCATGGTGATGCTAACTAAATGAAGCAGCGCTGTTTAAAGGATAAGGATATTTTTCTTATAGTCAAAAAATCCCCTGAAAAAAACAAAACCTGATATATTATTATATATTCCTGTGTGTCATAGACAGCTATTAATGTTGGAAAACTTCTAAAAACAAGTAGTTGAGCCACACTGTTGCACTGGGTGCACTGTTCCTTCATTACGATGAACCAGTCCACTGCAATTTATTTAAGTCAGTCCTAGATACAGTATCCTGCTGCCATAAATACTCAGTAGAGCAGCAAATGTGTATTCATTTGCAGCTGAAAATAGTTCTGGCCACATATATCCAAATATTACAGTGCCCAGCTATTTTAGGAAATTGACTCCTTTTTAAAATGAACCTAAATATTTGTGACCTGCTTTTACAGATTTACATCTTCAGTAAGAATCAATGGGTCAAAAGCTCTTTCACAGACAGGGTATGGAAGTTGGAAATTATTGAGAGACAGACTAAAAAATTCTTAGTTTTTGTCTTAACTTGGGATTCGTTGACAATAAGAAAAATACAAAATACCACTAGTCCTGTCCTTTGAATACTGTACATCTCATTGTAGCTATTAACTACCTCTCTCTTTGCTCTTATCCTCATCTGACCTCCCTTCTAGCCTCCTCTTAGAGTCTTAAGGCCTCTCACAAGATCCAGGAGTGCTCTTTCTTCGAACAATGAAGCCATGTGAAACTGTCCTAAAGACTACTCCAGCTGCCTTTGCTGCAAGAAGAGAAAATACTGAATGGCCAAAAGTTACATGACTGAAGCAGCCTTGCTTCAGAATAAGGTATTACCAAAGTGACCTATGATGACCCCTCTATATATATATATATAGTATATAGCTTGTGGCTCATGATTTAAAAAAAATGAGGTTTGAGACATTAAGATAGAACAAATGAATGAATGGGCTCCATTCTGATAAACATTTTGAGTTTGTGGGTAATTGAATATGCATTTATGTATACAGGTTGTGTGAACTTCATCTTTCTGATTTGATTGTTTTTATATATCAGGTAAGGGTAGGCAATCGCATGTGTGTCTTCCCAGTCATTTGTCCGCTGTTTATTAAAACAGAATGTACTGTCACTGAATACTACAGCTGGCATTGAGAGCGACATGGTCAATGTGGGAGAACGTGTTAAAAGCCAAGGATCAAAAGAAAAAGCATGGCTATTCAATCTGAGAAACATCTGTGAGCAGCTCAATCCTGTAATGACAAATTATCATTGTTATCATATTATTGTCAAGGTATTGACAAAAACATAAGACAACCTACCTTGTAGTAATGAAAAGTCAGACAGCAGTGGCAGACAATATTCTGTTATTTACCTCTCTATAAAAGCCTTAAAGAAAGACATAGCAGAGACACATAATTAAAAAATGTCTCCACACATGATATAACACAACTATGTTCTCATTAAACAATCATTTTGTACTATATTTTGAATCCAAAAGTACTGCCCTCAATAGTCTAAAATGGCCAAAAACTGTATAAAACAATAATCATAACAGATTAGTAGTTAATTTAATTAATTAATTAATTTCTTAATCATTAATGCTATTTTTTTCTGCAGTAAAGAAATAATTACTCATGTAACAATCAATAGACCACAGATATATTAAGTCACTACTACAAGAGGTTTTCCCAATGGAGCAGACTGTTTTTGACAATCTACTGTTCAGTTTGTACACACCTTTTGTTCATCACTCGAAAATTTATTTGGCAATTTAAGGCCAATTAGAAATATGTCCCTTTCAGCTGTAGCAAAAATAGGATAAAACATGAATAAGTATTTACTGTATATAAACATGGTTCTATTGTCCATGTTTGAAATCACTGTGTAATGCTCTGCTGTTAACTGAGCAACACTAAACTCAACGATCTTACCTTCTACTTGCTTCTATTATTTTTTAGGAATTCATTAAGAGTGACTTTATCAGTTTGCAGGTTTACAAACTTACATTTAACTTAATATTGCGTGGTGATACACTGTATGTTTTCATCCTGTACTTTACTCACTGAGCCTGATTCATAGCAACATTTTACACATAGTATCACAGTGTTGGTTGTTGATGGGTGGACTTAGGCTGGCAGTAGATTTATCATTTTCATCAGTGTATCTGTATCATTTACGGTGGTTTGAAGTTTGAATCAAAAGCTTCTCAGGTACAACTGTTCTGTTTACACATCATTCACTCTGATGTTGTAGATACACTTGTTATGCACATGAAATGTCCTTTTAATGGATAAATGGTGAAAAAATATGATTGTTTCAGCATTAGTAGTATCAGTGTTGTTAGAGGTGATTTCATTCTATTAAAATTCATGCAAAGTAAAACATAAAAAAATATGTTGCTCAGTAGCAGATTTGTATACTTGTGCGTAGACTGATGAATTCATCATTGCATGATGCTTGTTTTTAATTTCTTTGAAAATTGGATTTCTTAAGTGATTTTCTGTGAAGCTGTTGGCCTCTTCAGACACCTTGCTGGTAAACAATGAATTCATGTTTTGTTGCTTTGTAGAAAGAATATGAAATGTTATAACTATACATACATGTTGGTTATGCATATGAATAAGATGTCTTAGTTACTGATCAATTAGCCACTTTATTCTTGAATAAGAAATTTTGTTCTGGCAGGCCAGAATGTCAAATTACTTAAATTTCAACTTTATTGTAAAGTATTAAAAAAAACAGCAGTTAAGTGATGACATGATGGTTTATGGCTATCAATTTATTGTTCTACTAGGTTAAATGTTTGTTTAAATTGATTTACAGCCATTAAATATTAAAGGAAAACTCTTGACGGTGTGTCATTTGTTTTTGTCTTTTTAGCTTAATACAGCATATAAAAGAAAAGGATAACTTAATACATATGACTTTATTACATATATAACTTTATTGTATTATATTGAAACAGAAAACAAGATGTCACTACATGGATCAACAGATTACACTTTGAAGTTGACCCGATCGTGGTACTTCAAGTATGGATCATTAACAAACCAGTTCCTCCTTTTCCAAAAAGAGGTTGTCATTTTATCCAAAAGCTTGCTCTGTGTTTTGTTACAGAATACATGTTCCCTGAGGCGATTGCGTCTGGCAGGTTTCTTCTTCCACAGTTTCTTCTTGTATCCAGCCTGTTTACACCCAAAAAACAAGAAGTCAGAGTGGCAAAACTGTGTGTTTAAGGTGTAGAAAGAAACATTAATGATTTTCAGTCAGCAAAAAAACAAACTTGTACCTTGCGCCTGATCCAAAGGCCACAGTGCAGCCTCATGAACCTTTCTGTCACTGATTTTACAGTCTTCCTCTTCCCCTTCTTCACACTGTAGTACGTCAGACTTCTACTTGGTTGCTGAGTCAGACTGGGAGTAAGAGCCGATACCCTGCGCAGAAAAGTAGAGAAAGGGCACAACTACGGTTATTTAAAGGTCCAACTCAGTCAAATTATAAAACAACATTTTATCACCTAAGACAAGTAAGCATCACCAGCTGATACAGATGGTTTTAGTTTTGTATGGTCAGGTTTATATATTACTCTCTGAGATTTCTCACTCCACTACAAACACAAAAGTGGTGAGTAGAATTTTGTTTGTGGTGCATAACATACTTATTCAACCACCACAATCACGTAGTTTTCAAGTGAAAAGAAGTAGATTTTAAAGAAAGTATCATTTTTGTTGCACCTATACAGACTGTAATCCCAACAGCAGTTTTAGCTACAACAGTCCTAATCCTACAAATAATCCTGATTCCCCCAAACATAAAGGGATATGTGAGAGGGCTATAGGAGATTACAGTGAGAATGTATTAGTTAATGTATTTGTTAGCAAATAAATAAGTTAAGTAGTAGTAAACTGTTAAATTTTACTAACATTTTCTCCCCAGACGCTGATTCAATTTATCTTTCATTTTACTTTCTCCTTTAATGCAAGAAAATATTTTACACATTGTTTATTGGTAACACTTAAATGAGTTCTAATTTCTGATGCAAAAGTTACATTACATGGCCAAATGTATGTGGACACAATGTTACATACACATATGCGTATTGATCTTGTCATTCAACTGTGGGCTGTAACAGTCTCAACTTTTATGAGAAGGTTTTCCCACAATATTTTGTAACCCGGCTACAAAGATTTGCTCCAATTCAGCCACAAGAGCATTAGCATCCACACCAAAGGTGTTGCATGTGGTTGCATTAAGGGCTCTGCGTAGGCCAGTTGAGTCATTATAAAACTCTGAAAACCATTCTTTGCCAGCTTTTCTTTGAGCACAGATGCATGGACATGTTGAAACAGGAGAGGGTCTCCCCCAAACGCTTGCCCAAAAACTGGAAGCGAACACAGTCAATACACTAATAAAACAAGAGTGTTAACCTTTGGTCATAGCGTAACAGTATCGTGGTTCATGACACAAAAGGGAGACATATGTGTTGCTTTTCAGCTTATTATCAGGTGGTTACACTAATTATTGTTGTTAATATCCACCTGACAGCAATCTGAAAATCAGCAGGCGAGTTCCCTCTTTTACCGTTGTAGGATGTTGTATCGGGGTGTCTGACACACTGCAGCCCGCAGAGGAGCGCGGACAGCGGCTGTGGCGAAGCTGTACAGAGGCGGCGGCTGGATGAGGCTGGAGAACTGACAGAGCTGTGGTGTCTTGGCACACAGAGAGACAGACAGCGGCCTCAGCAGCCCTGTCAGACACAAGGACAACATGAAAACAGATGAGAGGAGTCGCAGTTAGAGAGAACACCTAGTACCGTAGTGACGTGCTTAAAAACTGCACGTAAGTTACGCCCAATTGCTGCAGCAGTTCAGTACATTTAAAAAATGGATACAAGTCTAAAACTTTACGGAATGAGGAGAGTGAAATGAAAAAGTATGAATATCAAATTGAAGGTACACACCAGACACCCTTCTTGCCAAGGCGGCCGCCATGTTTCCTTCCTGAATGCTACGGAGTCCTGTTTGGACAGATTTCATTTTTGTCGCATCCACCGTTACTACTAAATAGTGCATTACTGCCACCTAACAACAGTTTCTGGACGTGTTTGTCTGTAAGCCTTTCCGAAAATATCAACAACAAAAAAATCCAACATTTGACAGCCACTTAGATTAAGATGATTCTTGGGCTACATGTTAATATATCTATAATAACAATCCACTAATTTAAAGTACATAGCTACACTAATACAACACTCTGACAAGGTCCAGTCTGGGTAATCAGTACTTTTACTATTTATACTATTTAAAGTATTTTGTAAATACTTTAAATAGTACATTTAATGTAACAAAGTATTTCTACATTGTATCATCACTAGTTTTCCTTTCACCACTACTATCTGGTAATGAAATATAAATCCTGGTTACAAATAAAATAACACAGACAGTCCTAAAATCATTGTGGAGGTACGTTTCAGCCACCAGCAATTGTGTTATGTACTCCAGTATCCACTTTCTGTGCATGATATCACTCACAGTCTTTTATGCTACTTTCATCTGTATCGGTCTTTCTATGCCATGGTTCTCAAACTCTGTAAACTTGTTTATCTGATCCTGAGATCCTCCTGCTGGACATTTACATAATGTGGAAAGAATTGTTCCGTGCTGTGGGACTGAACCACAGTCTTGTTAAGAGTGACTTCCCTCTTTTCTTTAGTCTGATAAACCTTGCTGTATCCACTGAATAGATATTTTCATGGCAGACGTATATATTGCCCCATTAAAGAAAAAATAAGTAATTTTACTTGTACACTAACAACTTGGCATCCAAGATTAGTTGATTTTTAATTTAAGTTTGCAAAACAAGTACAAACAAGTAAGACATTTTGCTCAAGGTAATACTTTTTATTTATTTTCATTTAAAACATACAAGATAAACTTAAAAAAGCAGATGAAAAACATACAACAGTCAACACGGTGTGCTGTAACCAACTGCATTAAAAACAACAAGGCACCAACCACCGTAAAACCTCTCTGTAACTGTGGAACTACACAAGTTAAAGGAGGCAAACACAATTCTACCAACACAAGTGCAAAGTAAATTAATTACCTCCGTAAAAGAGGCGCTCTTCATAAGAGAGGTTCCCACCCAGTCGAGGCAAGCATCTCATTTTCACTGTTCCAGCATAGCTCTCATTATTCAATACACCAGTGTACAAAAGGAAAGTGTTCATCTGAGTGGAACAATTGTAGCAGTGTCAAACTACAAGAATTCGCAAAAGAGTCAACTTCTGTTCTTTACCAATATATTAAAATGTACCCATAAAAAAGCTGGTGTATTTTCAAAGTACTCTTAAGGCACCAGTCCAGGATTTTACCCCCAGTCTTCAGTTCTTTTGTCTTTAGTTGGGTCACAAGTCTTATTTATGGAGATGAGACTTCAGTTGGTTGTCCTACCAAACTCTTACTGCAGGAAAATTACGCTGGAGGTTCTTTGGTTCACCAGCCAGCATATACAGGTTCTGCATCACAGGGGATACCATAGTATCGACCTTGAGGTCGCTCTTTGCCTAACAATGGAGCTCTGGCTACATTCAGCTCTCCGTCAGTGTCTCGTCGTCGACGTAGTACTGTTAAAATGATGAAGAGTAGAGCCACTGAGGGGCAAAAGGAAAAACACCAGAGGATGTTAGAGTAAATTACCATATACAGTAAGGCTTATTACACATGCAGAAAGAGTTCATTGATTTTTTTATTTTTTTTATTTTGTCCTATATGCGCATGATTTGGTGTCAGTATAAGGGCAAAATCTGTTTCCAGTGGGCAAAAAACAAAAGGATTAGTGTTTCCATGCTGCCAGAGGCCAAATGACCAAAGGAGTCATTGGATTAATAGTCTCTCTGGAAATTAAAGTGTCATATATAATAGGCAAGAAATACACTCCCAGAACAATACTTAGTTGACATGAAATTTGCAGTAAATGCTTATTTTCAAGTCAATAAAAGAGAAACTGTACATTTCAACAACAAAACATTTCTATTTCATTAGTTATACCTGCTGAGTGGACTTATTTTATTCAGAAGTTTAAATAAACAACTTATTTACATTGAAGAAAGTTATAAGAAAAGAATTTAGTATATAAAAAAAGAGCAGTCCTGTACATTTTAATTGACCATTCATTCCTAAGTCACGAGTGGAAAGTACATCAGCGTGAGGTATTTTCCACTCTTAGCAATCCATGTATTATGAGTGAAAAAAAAGCTCACGTTAAGATACAGAACATATGTGTGCCTAATATTATCCAAAGTGAGCTATGAACCATTACTATACCAAACACGTACAATTAAGACTTACTTTAAATGGAATTGGTTTGTGTGTAATCAGATCATATAAATGTGGGACATTGCGGCTTAAAGTTTGTCAACTTTAAAGGCCATCAGTTTAAAAAGCATAACTTAATGTCCAATGCATTTAACATACTGTGAAGTAAGGTTGCATTACAAAAGACACTCTGAAATATCAGAAAAAATATTAATGCAGTTGTACTTTTTAAAGAATTATGAGTAAAAACAAGATTTTATTCGAGTATTTCTTCATGTGCATTAAAAACATAAAGAATTATTGTATGTCTTCCAGCATTGTTACTTACCCCCTCCTCCAATAACTAAAAGAGCAATAGTGACAGGAGCCAATTCACAAGTGTCCCCTGCTTTGCGGAAGAAAGTCTCCATGCAGTAGCCTGGAGCCAAGCTGCCCTCTGGGCAAAATGCATCATTCGGACACTGAATGGGGTTCACATCAGGACTCTGAGAGAACAACATGCTCTGTCATCAAACAACCTCAAGACATTTTTC